TGACTCCATTCACCCTCCCGTGGCTCCATCCACCCTCCCTTGCTCCATCCATCCTCCCTTGCTCCATCCATCCTCCCTTGCTCCATCCTTCCTCCTGTCGCTCCATCCACCCTCCCTTTCTCCATCCACCCTTCCTTGCTCCACCCACCCTCCCTTGCTCCATCCTTCCTCCCGTGGCTCCATCCCTCCTCCCATGGCTCCATCCCTCCTCCCATGGCTCCATCCACCCTCCCATGGCTCCATCCCTCCTCCCGTGGCTCCATCCACCCTCCCTTGCTCCATCCACCCTCCCTTGCTTCATCCATCCTCCCGTGGCTCCATCCACCCTCCTGTGGCTCCATTCATCCTCCCGTGGCTCTATCCCTCCTCCCATGGCTCCATCCCTCCTCCCGTGGCTCCATCCAACCTCCCTTGCTCCATCCACCCTCCCTTGCTCCATCCCTCCTCCCATTGCTCCATCCACCCTCCCGTCACTCCAAGCATCCTCCCATCAGCCCACCCATCTCTCTGTGGACATTTACACTCTAGTCAGGTTCTGGTCCTCCCAGTCTGTCTCCAAGGGCAGCCCCTTTCCGCGGGACACTCAAAGGAAGGGGTGCGTGGGGGCTGCGGAGCCCGGGCCCCAGGACGGAGGCTTGGCCCTCTCAGCAGCAGCCGCCAGCCCGGGGCAGCTTGGGAAAGGTCTCGGAGGTGCCCACACCAGACACGCCCGTGAGCTGGCTGTGCTTATACGGGGAGAGAGAGGCGGCCCACGGGGCAGGGGAGCAAGGCTCTGGGTGTGAGCGCCTGGACTCCAGGGACCCCCACTCCAGGGAGAAGCGCCTGCTAGCGAGAAGGTGGGCCTGGGTGGGCTGTGGGAGAGAGTGTGCTTCACAATTGTGCTCCGAACCCTCGGATTGTGCTGTGAACAGTTGAGTGTGCTCTGGAAGCCTCTCTGAGCATTGCCCCTCCTCCCAGGGAGCCAGACGGAGCCAGTCTGGGCTCCAGGGTGGCCGGAGTAGACGGGGGACTGGACGGCTGGTCCTAAAGGAGATGGGGACGGGCTCGGGCCCAGACATCCCCTCCCAAGCGGGATCTGGGGCACATCCATCCCCCCAGTGTGGACACAGGGTCTCCACTTAGGGTGGCACAGGGGAGCCCCTCAGCCCGCTGCCAAGTCCGAGGGCACCATCTGCCTCACAGAACAGAAGGCCACCCCAGTTCTGAGGCCTGGCACCTGTGTCCCACCCCAGCCTTAAGTCAGGAAACTCTGGGGCTCCCCACCCCCACCCCACCGGGTGTCTCTCACCCAGCAGCACACAGGGAATCTGAGACCTCAGAACTGCAGGTGGCGGGTTCCAGGGAGGAAGGGCAGTGGGGGGGACTCCCAAGTGGCCACTTGGAGTCTCCCCTGCACTGGGGCCAGGACTTCCGGATTATTCCTGTCATTTGATAAGAGGATCTCAGAGGGTTCGATTGGGCTGGGGCTGGGACTGGACTGGTGGACAGCGCTGAAGTCGCTGGGCCAGGGGTGGAGGCTGAGGCAGGGCTGACCCGCTCTTCTGGGCAGAGGGCCTGGACATGGGCAGTCTGGGTGTGGGGGAGAGCCCAGCAGGGTGGGGGTGGTGGTCACAGCTCTGATTCAGGGGTGCTGGCCAGTAGGTAGCCACTCCCGTAGCGTCCATTGGGGTTGGTGCTGTTCTCCAGGGGCGACGTGCTGCCGGGCCCCAGGTAGGAGCGGTGGGTGGGCATGGGGGAGGGCGCCTCGCTGGGCACCTTGCTGAGGATGAAGCGGGTCTCGTCATTCTCCTCCAGGTTGGAGATGTCCTTCATCATCCGGCCCTTCTTGTAGGACACGGAGAGGGTGTTGGAGCCGTCGGAAAGCAGGTGGAAGTGTCGCAGGACGAAGACCACAGGGATGGGCAGGGTGGCCACCACAATGAGGGTGATGAGGAGCGCCATGGCCCAGTTAGGGAAGTAGAGGTAGCGCTCGGCGGCCTAGGGCGTGAGCAGGGGCAGGGCTGCCACCTGGCCCCTCCCCCGAGCCAGGACCCTCCCCCGCCCCACCCACCATCTGGGCCAGGCACCAGCAGAGATGGGGGTGGTCAGGGGGTGCCGCCCGATTGGGGCCGAGCCTGCTTCTACACCAAACGGGTGGGTAACTCCAGGCCACAGACATGGAGGGAAGGCAGGGATTCGAAAGACTGGACGGACACGCTGAATTCCCTGACCCTCGGTGCCCCCCATGCGAGCTGCAGAGATGGTGCTCCCTTGCCCTCTGGGTTGCCGTCGCGGGTACGGCTCAGAGGCAAAGCCCCTGGCTGGGCCTTGGCTGTCCTGTCAGGGTCTGTTTCTTTCTCCCATGGCAGTAAAAGAAAGGTACCAATGTCCCTGGGCTTGGGGCGCCCGCCCCCCACTCCTCACCTCCTCTTTGATCCATGCACTGTAGCCTGGGGGTGTGACCCCCAGCTGGATGATGCTGGCCGTGGTGAGCACGGCCATGCACAGGGGAGACACGAACTTCCACATGTAGAAATAGAAGCGGTAGGGCCGGAAGCCCAGCATGTCCGTCAGCTCCTGCATGAACCTGCCAGGGGCAGCAGAAGGCCCAGCGGTCAGCACCCACGGAACCTGCCCCTGCCCCCATGACCGCCTCGTCCAAGAAGCCTTTTCTGTCAGCCCCTCGTCCTAAGCTCTGCTGCTCTTCACACCCAAGGCTCTCGTTGCGTTGTTCTGTCCCCCAGCTTGACTCCCCATCCAGGGATATGATACAACCCACGCAACACCCCTCAGCAGGCTCCCCCACACTGGCCAGCTCTTCTCCCCAGCACAGCCCCACACAATGGGCCTTGCTGTCTCCTCCCCCTGCTGGGAGAAAGGCAGACAGGCACACCCCTCGATTCAGAGGCAGAAGGTGGAGGGGTCTCTAAGCACTGGTCTGTGAGTGGAATTCTGGGTAGGCTGTGCGCCATGAGTAGCCTAAAAATCATCGACCTCAGTCACACACAGCTGAAATCTCCTATTTCTTTCATTATCAATGGAAGCAGTTACAGGAGCAGCAAAGCTTCCTCCAGTTGACTAAATCACAGTTTAAGTGGTAAGAGCTTTTCACCGTTACAATTGTGGAAATGCGATAACCTACAAACATCACTTCTGTTCATCCCTAGCTCAATTACCACTGTCATCAGGCCCACACCGACGTCGGGTAACTTAATGCAATCAAAAGAAAGCAAATGATACGGCTAGAGTTGGTTTCAAACACTATTGTGCTGTTTTTCAACATAGTGTCTTATATAATCCTCTATGTTTTAGCTGATACACTTATAAATAGTATTCTGAGGTGGGGTACAGGCGCTTCACCCGATGGAAGAAGATCAGGAGCCCATCTGGTCTAACTCTCTTCCAACCCTGGCTAACTGTCCGCCCCCCTCCGCCCCCCAATACTCCCCATCTCTCCCTGGACGCAGATGGCTATTACAGAGCCCCGTGAGAGTCTGAGCATAAGGCCGAGGTCAGGCGTCGCGGAAGGGCCTTGCTGAGTGAGCAGAGGGGCAGGGTCCTGGGGCTTCTGGGACAGATTTGTTGCTAAGGAAGGAGACCGGGGCTGTCACGACTGTGCCGGCCCCAGGCTCAGGCCAGGACACCCAATCCTTTCTAGTAGCTGTATTTCCTCGCCCAGCTCAGTTCCAGACTTGGGGCCGAAGCCATCTCCCCCATGCAGACTGCTCCCAAATGACCCCAGATGCTAAAGACCACGAGTCCTTTAAGCACAGGCCTCTGTGGACCCAGGAACTGCTTAACAAGCTTAACCCAAGCCGCACCGAGGTGCCGCGGTGATTTTTCCATGATGTAGGACAAGGTCAGAACCCACAGCCAGGAGACGCCCTCCACAGCCTGCGTCTCACCGGCCAGCCGGGCCTGGGGTGTCCCGTCCTCTCTCTTAGTCCGTTTCCCTAGTGACCTGCAAGGGCAATTTCAGCTCTGACTTTCTGGCCACGTTAAGCTCCTCCCCGCTCCCTGGCAGCTCTGGGATCGCAGCGCTTTCCAGGGAGCGATGCTGGGACAGACCCTTGCCCGTCCCCACCCAGGCCCCCCCTCAGCCCTCTTACTTCTTGGTTCCGTAGATCCAGGCCACAGCGATGTTCTCCAGGATGACGATGACCGTGAGCGGCAGGGTGGCCGAGTAGTCATCGAACATGGTGACAAAGTAGTTTCCGGAGCGCTGGACGAACAACAGCCCCACGAAGAATGCAAAGACACAGCAGCCCACTACAGAGAGCCGGGAGGCCGGTGTGGGGGCAAAGGTGCAGGGTGGGCGGGGCCCCAGGGGTCTTGGGGGGCACCCAGGTCCCTCCCGTGTCACCTCCCCCAGCAGGCCTGCAGCCCACCCTCCAGCAGGCCCAGCCCTGCAAAGGGGAAGGTGGTCCCGAGACGGAGGCTCTGAGCCCCCTCTACTAGGCGGGGAGCTTCCCAGGGGGTGACGGGGCGCAAAGTCAGCACGGAAGGGGCCACCCCTACGGGGATGATTCAGCAGGCGCTGGGAGCGAGCGAGCAGGTGAACCGAGAAAGAGGCCCGTCTCCCAGCTCAGGCTGCGGGACTCCCAAACTGCCTCTTCCTCCTGCCTTGTGAGCGCCCTTCTCCCTGGCATATAGCCAGACCCCACCATGTCCCAGATGGGGTGAGGGGACGGGATGCCCCATTCTGAGCATAGGGTCGAGAGTGATGGGTCAGAAGCCGACCTTTCTACCGTCAGAGCCACAGCCTGGCCCTCGTCCCTGAGGAAGCCACAAGGCTCGAGGGGGCTCCCAGTAGACATTACCTGTGAACATCTCCTTGGGCACCTTGAAGGTGTCGATGATGGGTGTGGTGATGCCCGCCATGGTTCCGATCATGCTCCCCAGGCCCAGGTTGATGAGCATCAGGAAGAACATGACAGACCAGAACGGGGAGGCGGGGAAGTGCGTCATGGCCTCGGTGAAGGCGATGAAGGCCAGGCCTGTGCCCTGCACGGACTGAGGGCAGGGGGAGAGGCCAGCTCAGTGGCCAGCTCAGTGGGGCCATGACCAACCGCAGCCCTTGGAGCAGAGCTGCTGCTGCTTTCACAGGCCCACCCCCATCGACGCCCTGTCATTTCCTTTATGAGATTTATTTATTTATGCATACAGAACTGGGGTGCAGGGGCGGAGAGAGGATTCACCAGAGACAGAGTGGGGAGCAGAACAGGCCGACTGACGAAGTACACTGCTGAGGGGAGCAGC